CTAGACCGTCCAAATCCACAGCCTCTTTTTTTCCGGTCTTCCCGGTCTACCAAGGACCCGGCCCTCCGAGACCGGGGAGTCTGGGTCCTCCGGAGGACCCGGCCTGTCGTTTTGGACACAGCTTTTGTTCTTTCAGCAATTAGTCTGTTGTGTTCCTCTAATTTGTGTGTTCATTATTTGTTAACTTGTGTTAAACCGTTCAGCAGGAGTAAGAGTGGTAGGCCTAGCCATTAATAAGACCTGTGAGTTTCACTTTGTCAGTGTTGTTCATGAAGAAGAATCCAATAAAGATTCTTCAAAACCACCACCTGGTGGTGAAATCTTGAACAACAACATGAGCTACAACTCGCTTTGTAGCTGTGACATGTCATGCTACAATATTGTGCTTGACGTATGTGCACTGTTACAAAGAACTTGTGAGATTTACTGGAAAAAATTCTCGTGACAATTTGCACTAACGTTTGTTAAGTAAATTTAAATGCTACAAATTCAAGTAATATTTACTCATCATTATCTAGTAAAAGTTATTAAGAATATAGTTAAAGATTTGTGAATAAATCAGGTAAATTTTACTTAATTTGATCAAGTATATGTTACAAGATTTAATTGAGCAAATTAAGTAAAATTTACCTGATTTATTCACAAATCTTTAACTATTTTCTTAATAACTTTTAATAGATAGATGAGTAAATACTACATGAATTTGCAGCATTTAAATTGACTTAACAAACATTAGTGCAAATTTGTTAGAGGATTTTTTTTCAAGTACATCTTACAAGTTTTTTTTTTCAGTGTGACTTCAGTGTAACAACATCACACCTTCATTSTTTTTAAACCTCTGAATCTGAATAATTAGTTTACAATATTGTAAAGTAACTAAGTACAAATACTTTGTTACTGTACTTAAGTAGAATTTTTCAGTATCTGTACTTTATTTGAGTAATTATTTTTCAGCCTACTTTTTACCTCTACTTTCATTTTCACACACTTATCTGTACTTTTTATTCCTTACATTTAAAAAAAAAAGACAAGACCTAGAAAGTTGTTGCTTTTGTTTCATTTTTGCTTGTTTTCATTCCAGCTTGTCATTGTAAAAAAAATAATATAAATTGTGCCTCCTAGATAGAGTGGATTTAATTGTGTTTGAATGAGAAGTATAATTATATAAAACTCTGATACCGTATTAGTTTGTACACAAACAAATCATGTCACACTCCAGCAGGACATAATCATTAATAATATAAGGACTGTACTTAAGAAGTATTTTTATTTCATGAATTATATTATTGCATTTGGCCGCAGCCCTCAGATAGATTTTTTTTGGGGGGAAAAGGTTTATTAGTTTGTACACAAACAAATCATGTCACACTCCAGCAGGA